TTTGCCGTTTGATATTACGGAAAAGGGTCTAAAATATTTTTAAAGTATTGAAAATGGTATAAAATTACCCTTCATCCACCTATTGGCTCCAAAATGCCCTTTTCATCCACCTATTGGCTCCAAAATATTCTTGTCATCCTCAAAGTTGACCACTTATTTAATGATTTTAAATTTAAACTATTTAAATATTTTTAAATACTTGATGTTCAACTATTGATTATAATTTAATTTATTTGTATTATTTATAAACTAACCATTACCCACCCATTACTAATTAAATCCCACCCAATTAATAATCCAACTATAATATCAAAATCTTCATAAACACTATTAAAACACGATGAAATTATAGATTCATGAAAATTACATCCAAAATTATTTGAGTCCGAATTGAAGCCCCAATTAAATTTATGTTGAGCCGTTTATTTAGGAGGACACTTTCAATTTGGTTCTCTTTCAAAAATTAGAAATTTCTGATTAAAGGTAAACAAGTAATACATCCTGAATTAATTCATGCACTTTTTAAAAATATAATATTATAAATATTTATGATTTGTTTTAAAACCTTTAATATATTATTTTGAAAAAAAGTTACCTATGAAGTAACATCACATAATTGAGACGTAAAAATAATTAAGATGAACATAGTTAGAGTTGTCAGTTTATTGGTAATTTTTATTTAGACACTTGAATGTGTGATAATTTAATTCTATAGATATTTTCGTCTCAAATTTTTAAAAACACTCAATTAGTAGTAGCTTTTCTGTTGTTGCAATAATAATGTGACGGTTTTTTTAATTCGGAGGGTTTAATTAGTAGTGTGTGGGTAGTGGATTGATTTATAAATTATACTAATAAGTTAAATTATAACAAATAGTTGAACGTCACGTATTTAAAAAAATATTTAAATAGTTTAAATATAAAACCGTTAAATAAGTGGTCAATTTTGAAACAAAAGGTGGATGACAAGGGTATTTTGGACCCAATAGGTGGGTGGGAAGAATATTTTGGAGCCAATAGGTGGATGGAAGGTAATCTTGTACCATTTTCAATACTTTGAGGGTATTTTAGACCCTTTTCCGTTGATAGCATGTTATGCAATTATGCATGTTATTTTTAATATCTTGCTCTTTCTATGAAGGTTTATCTTTTTGGAAAAATTATAAAATATGACAAACATTGATATACATTTAAAATAAATAACTATAATTTATTTTTTTATGTTATATGGATATAATTACACAATAAAAAGTAAACTTAATTATATATAAAAATAATTAAAAAAATTATTATTATTAAATAGGAAAATTATTATTACAATCCTAATTTATTATGTCTAGGCATGTTTTATGTGATTAGTTCCACATGTTTACCCTCACTAATACTTTCTCTTTCATCAATCTTCCTATATCACAAAATTTATGTATTTTTCTCCCAAATTTATTTCAATTTAAGATCTTTTTTATTATTTTAGAAGAAACTTTTGTACTTTGAATTCATCTGATATCACTTGATTGATTTTCTCCTCGTTTTTATGAAGATCATAATTATATACATATATGTTGCATCTTTTATAGGCTTTCAGTTGACTTGTTTTCACATTACAATGACTATAGTTATAAAAAAAATTAGTACAAGAAGAACACGAACAACAGAGATTGAGGTTTATGCAATTGTCAAATTTGTATATGTTGAAGGAAGCTGACGGAACAGGTCAAAAGAACAGGTTCGGTTGAAGCTGTTTGACGAGTTAGAGTTTGAGTTACACTATGACTAGACTACCCAATCCTAAATAATGTACAAGTCTATATTTTGTACGACTAGGATAAGGTGTATATATTATATTTATGTTGTATTAGGATTTCTAGTGTAGCTAGTATAGGACTCTTCTCCTATATAAGGAGTATGTAAATCAATAATTCATTTATCAATACAATCATTAATTCTTCACACATCTGTGAGAATTTTACATGGTATCAGAGCAGGTCCTATCTCACCCGATGTTGGGGCCCCATAATCAAACTGCCCTCGTACCATATGCTAAGCACTGGACGTGAGGTAGAGTATTAAAGAATGACAGAAGTCCCACATCGGTGGTAATGAGATGGGTGGACTCCTTATAAGGCTTGGACAATCCTCCTCTCTTTGAGCTAGCTTTTGGGGTATGAGTTAGTTCTAAGACCTAATCTCATTGTATTGTGACAACATGAGTGCTTTGTACATGATAGTTAATCCAGTTATGCATGCTAGAACTAAACATGTTGAAATGGACTATCATTTTGTTTGTGAGAAAGTTGCTAGAGGACAACTTGTTACTCAATTTGTGAGGTTTAAGGATCAACTAGCAGATATTCATACAAAAGCATTAACCAAACAAGTTTTTGCTAAGTTTCTTCGCAAGCTAGGAGTTATAGTTCCTCCATTCACTAGCTTGAGGGGAAGTGTTGAAGGAAGTTGATGGAACAGGTCAAAGGAACAGGTTCAGTGAAGTTGTGTGACAAGTTAGAGTTTGAGTTACACTAGGACTAGACTACTCAATCCGAATTTATGTACAAGTCTATACTTTGTACGACTAGGATAAGGTGTATATATTATATTTGTGTTCTATTAGAATTCCTAGTGTAGCTAGTATAGGACTCTTCTCCTATATAAGGAGTATGTAACTCAATCATTCATTTATCAATACAATCTTGATTCTCATATTTGTGAGAATTCTACAATATATAGTAGAATAGTTATATACATAAATACTTGTATTCTAATATTAACACAAGTTGAAATGGTAATTTCTGAATACAAGTATATTTAAATACATAAGTAATCTATCGAATTTGAAAGGTTAATTAGGCAATACAAGTATACTTAGGGTCCGTTTGGATGGGCTTAATAAAAGCAGCTTTAAAAAAGTACTTTTGAAAGTACTGAAACTTATTTTTAAAATAATCAGTTATGTGTTTGGATAAAAGTGCTAAAGTTAAAAAAAAGTTGTTGATGTGTTTGGCAAATAAGTGCTGATAAACAGCTTTTTAAATCAAATGTCTGAAATACACTTAAAAGCTGTTAACCTAATAAAAGTTAATTAATTTATATTTTGCAGCCATAAATAATTATATTTTGCTATCATTCACATATTTCTTCTTTGCTCCTGCTCATGGGAGTTTGAAACTCCTCGCTGGGAAAAAGGAAAGAAACAAAAGAAGTTATGGGGGTAGTGTTCGTTGATTGTATTAAGAAACTTCAAGCAACACAAGAGCAGCTATGGACGAGGCTATGAAGCCCTTTAACTGGAAATTGAAAGGAACAACAACGCAGATTTTGAGATTGTATTTTGTAGAAAGATTGTTACTTCATTCATCATTCATGAGATGTATATATACATGTGATTTGAATGAATCAATCTGGTAGAAAAGAAAAGAATCTCTCACTAACTAATTAGTTTGTTATGTAACTAACTATGACATCACTAACTATAAAATGAAAACTAACTAACTAACTAATTGAAATAATTAATACACATGTTTTAATTATGATTGTTAATACCCCTCCTCAAGTTGGAGGTGATGATTTCACAGCCAACTTGTGCAAAATGGCTGAATGTTTGATGTCAGTGAGTGCCTTAGTAAGTATATCAGCAAGTTGATCAGAAGTAGACACATGATGTAAAGAAATGAGCCCCTCCTGAAGCTTATCACGTACGAAATGACAATCCACCTCAATGTGTTTAGTTCTCTTATGAAACACAGGATTACGAGCAATATGGATAGCAGATTGACTGTCACAATGAACACTAATATGAGAAGAAATAGAAACATTCAATTCAGTTAGCAATCTGTGAATCCAAGTTAACTCTCCTACAACCTTTCTGAGTGATCTATACTCTGCTTCAGCTGATGATAGGGAAACTGTCTCTTGTTTCTTAGATTTCCATCTAATAGGACTATTCCCAAGTAACACTAAATAACCACTGACTGATCTCCTTGAGTCTGGACATGATGCCCAATCTGAATCACAAAATGCTTGAACTGTGCAGTCAGGGTCCTTAGACAAATGAACTCCTAAAGTAGTATCTTTTTTGAAGTATCTAAGTAGATGATAAGCTACTTGTAGATGTGGAGCTCGTAGATCTTGAATGAACTGGCTTAAGTGTTGTACACTAAAAGCTATGTCCAATCTAGTATTAGTTAATAAATTTAACTTGCCTATCAACTTTCTATAGAAAGTGGGATCAGACAAAGGAGTTCCTTCCTTGGCTCTCAACTTAACATTAGGATCCAAAGGAGAATACAAGGGTGTATAATTGAAGCAATCATATTCTTTGAGTAAGTCTAAAATAAATTTTCTTTGAGAAATGAGTACTCCATCTGTTGTATCAAGAATCTCTGAGCCCAGAAAATAATGAAGTCTTCCAAGATCTTTGATTTTGAAAGTGTTGTCCAGATATATTTTCAGTTGTGCAATCTCAGTTATCTCTGTGCCTGTTAAAATAACATCATCCACATATACTGCAACAAACACTGCCAAGGATCCTTCCTTTCTGTAAAATAAAGAGTGATCAAAATGTGAATGTGAGTAACTTCTGGATGACAGTGCCTCAGTTAGCTTAGAGTACCACTGTCCACTTGCTTGTTTAAGACCATAAAGAGACTTTTTTAGCTTACAAACCAGCTCTGAATTAGACACTTCAAGTCCTGGAGGTAATTTCATGTAAACCTCTTCATGAAGATCTCCATGAAGGAATGCATAGTTTACATCAAGTTGAAACATACTCCAGCCTTTCTTTACAGCACATGCTATCAAAGTTCTCACTGTAGTCATATTAACCACAGGTGAATAAGTCTCAGTGTAGCCTTTCACAACCAGTCGTGACTTGGACCTTTCTATGCTTCCATCTGCTTTATGTTTAACTTTGTACACCCACCTACAACCAATTGCTTGTTTGTTTGGTGGTAAAGCAACAAGATCCCAAGTGTCATTAGCATACAATGCTTCAAATTCTTGTGTCATAGCCTTTTGCATGCAGGATTTAGTGATGCTTCCTCATATGATGATGGTTCACTATCATGACAAATGTTCTCAACAAGTGACTGACTATTAGATGCAATCACTTCAGGATATATATGATGATGTTTGGTAAATAGTGTAGTAAGGGATAAGTTGTTGTTGAGTTGTGTGTTTTGTGTGTTAATGTTAGCTGATTTCAAATTGGGAATATTGACAATATAGTCTTTCAAATGTGATGGTATTTTATTTTCCCTATGAGACCTTATCTGTACTACTGTGGAAGTATCATGTTGAGATGATGTTGAAGATGTATTAGAAGTGGAGGGTGTATTAGGATTTTGAGTAATGTGATTAGGTGGATGAGAAGAAGTTGTATCAGTCACATTGTCAAAGTCAATTACATAGTTTTTACGTGAATCCAAATCAGTATAATCAGGAGATGAAAAAGACTTCAACAGAAGGAAAAGATATACTTTCAGTTGATAAAGTAAAAGAAAAAACATGTTCATGGAAAATCACATCCCTGGAGATATATATCTTCTTTGTAGCCAGATTCATTACCTTATAACCTTTTGTTCCAAAAAGAAATCCCAAGAAAATATGTGGAGTGGTTCTTCGCTCAAACTTATCTCTAAGTACTTTTGGGACAGTAGGATAACAAAGACAACCAAAGGATCTAAGTTGGCTATAGTTTGGTTTCTTATTGTACAATACTTCATATGGACACTTACTTTTCAAATAACTTGATGGAAGTCTGTTAATAAGATGTGTAGCTTTTAAAACACACTCTCCCAAGTATCTTATAGGTAGTTTATATTGAAATAAAAAAGCTCTAGTTGTTTCCAACAAATATTTATGTTTTCTTTGCACTATACTATTTTGTTGAGGTGTGTATGGACAAGTTTTCTGATGAATAATCCCTTTGGATAAAAGAAATTGGTGTGTTTCATTATTAGTAAATTTCAGTCCATTATCTCTTCTAATGCCTTTGACTGTGGTACTAAATTGATTCTCCACCATGGCTATAAAGTTTTTCAGAACCAGTAGAGCATTGCTCTTGGTACTTAAGAGGTGTGTCCAAGTTGATATGCTATAATCATATACCAATGTAGTGAAATATTTGTAGTTGTCATAGGTGGATACATGATAAGGTCCCTATAAGTCAATGTGTAGAAGTTCAAAAATGGATTTGGTTTGGCTTATGCTATGACTAAAAGGTAATCTTTATTGTCTTGACATTGGACAAATGTTGCAAGAAAAAGGTTCTTTGGGAGAAAAATTGACTGGTAAGTCAGTGATACCTTTAATTTTAACCCATGGCCAAGTCTATTGTGACACAATAAATCTACATTATCTCCAGTAGTACTACAAGAATTATGATCATCCAGAAAATTCTTATTACTAGAAGAAGATTTACACTTAAGAGGAACAGAGTCAGAAACAAACACTTTGTACTGATCTGGAGGACAAGAATTGGCAGAAAAAGAGTTACAAGTTTCATCTTTAATGGAACTAGAAAACAGACTATTATTAGGAAAACAACAACATATCTGACATGTATTGACTCTATCAGAGGTCTTCAAACACTTTGTGCACAAGAAGTAAAGCCCATCTCTACAATTACCAAGAACCTGAGGCCTCTTCACTAAAGGGGCCTGCAATAGACACAATGCATTAGTGAACATGACTATGCATTTCATGGTAGTGATTAGGGAATGAACTGAAACTAGATTATACTTAAAAGAAGGTACATATAAAACTTGATGTAAAATGATACTAGATGTGACTGGTACATCTCCAAACTCTGTTACTTTGACTTTGTATCCATTTGGAAGAGAAACTAGTATGGGAAAAGGTAAGGTTTTGATATTGATTAGAGAGTTTTTACTAAAAGTTATGTGGTTTGATGCTCCTGAGTCAATGATCCATAAATTAGTACTTGATTCAAAACATTTGCATGATGGATTGTCAAAAACAGTAGAGGAAGAGCAAACCAAAGTACCTGCAAAGTTCATTGATCCAGTAGTCATACCAGAAGCATTATTAGCACCAGCATCTTCTCCCATATTCTCATTCTGGAAATGATGCAATAGGCTCATGATCTGTCCATATTGTTCCTTCTTGAAGTTAACATTCTTTAAATTGTCACCTTGAGATTTTGATTGTTCCTCTCCATTAGCAGACACCATGTCACCTACAGTACCATGTACATTTGCTACCACTCTCTTTCCTTTGTAATTTGAGCTTTGTTGTCTAAAACTCTGACCACCATTGTAATTTCCTGGTCTATTATTTTGATTGTTACTGCTTTGAGTATACCCATGCAACTTGTAACACTTATCCTTGATGTGCCCAGTCCTTTTACAATAATCACACACCATGGAACTTCTGTTGTTGTTATTACTTGGATAATAATTTCCTCCTGAACTATTGTTAGCATCACCATGATTTCCATAACCATTTGCATAATTGTTTCCTTGAAAATTTGTTCTGAAAAACCTTCCTCCATGGCCTTTGTTATCAATATCTTTAACATTCAAAGAAACTGAATCTGTAGACATTCTACCTACAGGCTTACTCTCTTTGTTTTTCCTCTTGGATCAGCAATGAGAAAGCCTGACCCATAGAAGGAAGTGGATTCATCATGAGGATATTTCCTCTTATAACTGTGTACACTTCATTTAATCCCATAAGAAACTGAATTAAACGCCTATCTTGCTTAGCCTTGTGTATACCATCCTTTGCACCACACACACAAACACAACTACAATGATTTTTCACATTCAAAGTATTCAACTCTTCCCACAACTTCTTCATTCTTGTGTAATAGACAGTGATGTCTAAAACTCCTTGTGTGAGATCATTGATCTCCTTTTGGATTTGGTACAATTTTGATCCATTGGTTTGATCATACCTATCTTCCAACTCCTACCAAAGTTCAGCAAAATTGTTTACATATTCCACACTGTCTGAAACTTCTTTGATTAAAGAGTTCAGAATCCAAGATGTTACCATATCATCACACCTCTGCCATTGACGTAATTGAGGTGAATTGACATTTGGTTTCTCACAGCTTCCATCAATGAAGCCCAAATTATTTTTCACTTATAAAGCCCTCATGAAACCTCTTCTCCAAGACCGATATCCTGTTCCATCAAACTTAATAGGAACAAGCATCATTCTTGGATTATCTAAGGGATGCACATACAAAACTCCATTAGAATCACTTCCAGATGTGTTAGTTCCCTCAAATGTGGATGCAGTATTTTCATAGCCATGAATGCAACGCAACAAAACTTATTATGAAATGTTCGACATGGAAAAGAAAGGAAACAGAGATGAAGCTCTGAAGAGAAGCTTGTGAATCAACACAGAAACTTCAAAGCTTGTTATCAATTGAGGAAATCAATCAAAAACAAGTAACCAGAAGAAGAAGAAGAAGAGAGCAATTAACCGTCTGCTCTGATACCATATTAAGAAACTTCAAGCAACACAAGAGTAGCCATGGACGAGGCTATGAATCTCTTTAACTGGAAATTGAAAGGAACAACAATGTAGATTTTGAGATTGTATTTTGTAGAAAGATTGTTACTTCATTCATCATTCATGAGATGTATATATACATGTGATTTGAATGAATCAATCTGGTAGAAAAGAAAAGAATATCTAACTAACTAATTAGTTTGTTATGTAACTAACTATGACATGACTAACTATAAAATGGAAACTAACTAACTAACTAATTGAAATAATTAATACACATGTTTTAATTATGATTGTTAATAGATTGGAGCTTCGTTTCTCGTGGCTAGATCTCGATGTTCGCAAAGGTGAACTTTTTCCGACCAGATTTTGCCTATTTCAGTGTAACAATGGGGATTGTTTGTTGAACAGGAAACCGGGTGGATTGTGGGTTGTGTGGGGTTGAGCTTGTTTGGAGGTCGGTTTGTTGGTTGGAAAAATGGGTTTGGGTGGTTTTGGGATCGGAAAATGTTGGGTTAAGCAGTGTTGGTGGGATTTTGTTGAAAAAAAAAAGAACAACCAATGGGGTTTTGGGTTGTGGCGACTAATTAAAATATATGTATGAAATATTATTTATATTTGTATAAATTTCTATATTGTTATGATATATGAATTAATATTAACAAAACAAAAATAATTATTAAAAAAAATAAAATAACCATAACTAATGACATGTAAAAACAGAATTTAAAATTAACTGATAATATATTCTAAATTTAGATAAATAAGAATAGTTATCGATAAACTTATTTTAAAATATAAAAAAAATTCTTTTAAACTATTAAATAAATAAAACATAAAAGTCACGAATTTTGAAAATGTTAGGCCAAAATTGAGTGTCAACAGTTGTCCCTTTCGTTGGATATGATTGATGAAAAAAATCGTTGACAATGAAAATTGACACACCTGATGTTGGCCGAACACATGACCTATATATAAAAGTGTGGTTTAATTGTGGTGGAAGTCGATCCCGAATTTGCATCCAAAAGGTTCTATATTGTGCTGCTTCCTTGTTGAAGTAGTCCACACATGTGGCTCCACTGAGAATGCATCCTCTTGGATGTTCTCGAAAAAAAAGAAACTCATTAGCAAAGACAAAATTACAGAAAAAGGAAAACATCTCTTACAATAAGACAAATGAAGATGATCCATTGATAGGAAAAAAAATGCATGTCGATCAGTAAGACGAATGAAGATGGATCTATCGATAAGATTATGAATGTATGTCTATCGGTAGGATGAATGACAAAAGATGATCCAACGGTACGATTTTGAATGTATGTCCATCGGTAGGACGAATGAAAAAAAGATGATTCATCGATAGAATTTTAAATGTATGTGCATCGATAGGATGAATGAAGAAAGATGATGATCCATCGGTAGGATTTTGTATTTATGTCCATCGGTAGGACGAAAAAAATTATTCATCGGTAAAATTTTGAATGTATGTCCAATGATAGGACGAATGAAAAAATATGATCTATCAGTAGGATTTTAAATGTATATCCATCTGTAGGACGAATGAAGAAAGATGATGATCTATCAGTAGGATTTTTTATTTATGTCCATCGGTAAGACGAACAAAAAAAATGATCCATCAATAGGATTCTGAATGTATGTCCATTGATCGAACAAATGAAAAAAGATTATCCGATAGAATTTTGAATGCATGTCCATCGGTAGGACGAATGAAAAAAGATGATCCATCGATAGGATTTTGAATGTATGCCATCGGTAGGACAAATAAAAAAAATTTCAACACAAGTCTCCTCCGACTTGAGCGCGAAATAGATAGAATGCACATCTTTCACCTCCGAATGGATGCGACTTAAATGCAAATATCTTTCAACGCAAGTTTCCTTCAACTTGAACGTTGAATAGATAGGGTGCACATCCTTCACCTCCGAATAGATGCGACTAAATGCAATGGCCTTCTTGGCGAATGAAAAATGCAATGACCCTTTTAGTAAATGAGAAATGCATGAACTTTGTTGTAAATAAAAAATTCAATAGCCCTCTTAGCAAGTAAAAATGCAATAACCTTCTCATTAAATAAAAAAATACAATGACCCTCTCAACAAATAAAAAAATAATGAAAATGAAAATAATGGATGACCTAATGATTTTTCACTATTACGAGGTGGATGAATGGTTCGATGACTGTCAAACTGTAACATGATGGATGACTCGGGGATTGTCCACTGTAACGAGATGGATGACTCGATGATTGTCCGTTGTAACGAGGTGGATGACTCGATGATTGTCTTGAAAGTTTCATCGCCCTAATGTTTTTACCTATTCCTGTACTTGAAAAGAAACAACTAGTAGACACAATGTCGCCTTAGATAGCGACTTAGTCAAGAAACCTTGATAAAAAAATTCTTTAAAAGAGAATGTGTATAAAATCATGGTCAGTTTAACACATGTGAACAATCAACGTTTTAATCTTGACCCATTTATGTTTATTATGACTCAAGTTTTATTGAGGATTTGTATGAATAGTTGTTGGCTCACTATGAAAATGCTGGAGATTTGCAAGTTGAATTTGAAGTTGACTATTGAGCTTCTCATGGTACATGTTGGAATTTTTGAGGCAGTCGGCCTTAAGAATTCTGTCCCAGTTAGAACTTTTGGCAAATCTCAAAATGACCTACAATTTTTACTAGATGTAGGTAGCACCTTTATTGTGAATTTTTGAGATATTCTCAAAAAAATTATCCTAGTGCTTATTACATGGAGAAAGAAAAATCACAATGGGTATATGACATAGCCATCGTTGTGCCTACATATCTTGTTGAGCTAGGAATCAGGTTAAATATAGTTTCAATTTTGTGGATGATTAATACTTCAAAGAATCTGAAACAAAATCATTAGTATAAAATGCACAATATGAATATGATGAAATAGAAAAATAATACTCCCTACAATATTCAAATCTTAAAGACGAAGATATATCACATTTTTTAGACGGACAACCCAATGAAGTAAAATAGAACTCCGCACATACAAGGTTAACCTAATGACACCTTTTACAATGAACAACGCAAAAATTAAAGGCAAATTCTTTTTTAAAAAAATAGAAAGACTCTACAAAAATAGCTTTAAAATATATTAAAGAATGTGCTTTGTTTGTTTTTTTTTTTGAAAAATAAAGAATGTGATGAGACAGTCAAATCTTGACTATAATTGATACCAACATTTAGGATTGCAGGTAACTCTCTCATTTATTTTTCTAACTAAGATTGAATCCAAGGTAATTCCTACAGCTTCAAACGGTACTTCAAACATAATTAAGGAATCTGTTCATCTTACTTCAAACAAAGATTTTTAATTGTACAAATCCTTAAGTTTCAAGTACCCTCACAACAAAGACAAGTCCTATTTCACACATATTTGAAACATTTCATTTGAGGAAATTTTCAGAGTACACTCACACTCAAAAGAATGTTAAATATATGCAACTGTGATACCATATGAATGACCTTTATGTAAATCTCCACTAACGTAAGAATATTTGGAATGAGATCATGTAGGGCTTGTCGTTAACTTGTAACATAAGCTTAGATAAAGGTAGAATATTTATTTGGGATAAGAGTGACTTAATCCCTCCTTGAGCGTCACACTGAATTTGTGCTCCTAATGATTGATACGCCTTTGCCGTCAGATCCTCTTCATTGTCCTCCCCTTTTTCGACTTCTTTTGAATTCTTATTTTTTTGGAGTTTTTCCTTCCTTTTCTTTTATCCCCTTTGTTTTTACTTCTTTTGAGTCCTTATTTTCTTTTATTTCATCTCTTTCTTTCGACTTCTTTTAAATCCTCATTTCTTGGATCTTTTCTTTTATTTTACACCTTTCTTTTGAATTTTTCTCCTCTTTTCATGGAGTATTTCTTTTCTTGTCTTTCACTGATCTTGTAGGGATATTTTTTTATTTCTTTCAACTTTTCTCTTTCTTTCTTTCTTTATTTCTTTTTCTTTCTCTAGAAGACTGTTTTGCTTCCTTGACTTTGGGAGACTCCATATGTTTGCTTTCAAAAAATT